CCTATTCCATCTAGAAGCTCTATTACTCCTAACCTTTATTACCTTCTAGAAGACTCCATAGTTTCCTAACCCTAGGTAATATTCTAGAAGGAATATTCATCTCCTAATGGAATCTTAAATATGGAATATAATTAATTCCTAATTCCTAAATAGAATTAAATAATAAAACATTCCACTAGAGTAATCCATTTGATCAATTTAATATTAATCTAATTGATCGATTTATCTCCCTATGTTTAAGGTATAACTTCCATTGATTAATTAAATTACTGACAAAATAGTTAATCAACTTTTTATCCATTTCAGAAATTAGTACCACTCAGATCATTAATCATTATGTCGGATAAACATCCGCCTGCAGGGCTTGACATAATTGTAATACCCCGTTCATTTGTGGATTATTTGGAAATAATTATTGCTCTTATTAATTGTCTTTATTATTATTATTATTATTATTATTATTATTTGCCTAAATATCATTAAATACCTAATTACTTTTAAATGTTTAAATGTTATTGTCATTTATATTAAATGTCCACATTGCCTAAATATGATTATGTGATTAAATGTTAATTATTAATAAATTTTATTGGTGTTTATTATATATATATATATATATATATTTATATCCCGTTTTATTTTAATTATCGAATGTTCGTGTCGGGCCTCGATTATATTTATTGTTGAACCGAGAAAACCCGGTCCACACCTCGAGCCGCGCGCCCATAACCGAACCTTAGCCATTGATGGATAAATATTTTTGGTTAGTTCAAATTTCAAATTTTGCTAAGGTTTATTTTGATAAGACATGGAGCTATTTTCCCCACCTTAAATTCTGTCAAATTCCCTAATGAGTCTTGATTATTTGTATTAATTTTGTTACCAAATTTATTGCTTTTAATTTCTCACATTATGGGTTGGGATAAATTTTCTTTCGTTTCCTCTCTCCACGTTGGTAGTCCGCTCCTCTCCTTACATATAAATCAGATATTCCTCTTTTCCCTCTTGTAATCACCCTCACCCTCGCATCTTCACCTATCATCATCACCATCAACATCCGATCATCACTGTTCTTCGGCGTGAATCAACAACCATCCGGCGAGAAGGACCAGCAATCTTATCCCCGTTGTGCCTGACCGCTGTTCGAGCCTTCCGGCGACCACCGTTGTGCGAGTATCATCTCGGCGGCATCCCAGCAGCACCTCAAGCGAGCCGAAACTTTGCCGTCAAGTCCCGCCGATGCACGCGTAGAGCCGTTTCAGCCCTGTTTCGACCTTCCTTCGACCGTCTCGTGATCTTTTCGTGAGAACGGTACACCGAGGCTCGAAACTCTATTAATATATTATGTGTATTCGTATGTTATGAGTATTTCGTAACTTTAAGTTACATGTTGAGTTGGTTATATGAAATTTCCGTGGTTGTATGAAAAGCTTTGGCTAGATCATGCTAAAAGTCGAGTCCTCTCTCGTTTGCGTGTATATGGATGAAAATATAGGTGTTTAAAATGCTTAAGTGTTATTATGAAGTTGGTATGTCACATGTGATGATATTCGTGAATTGTATAGCCTCTGTCGAGCCTCTGGAAGGGCATTAAAAACTCGTATTTTGGAAATAAGTTTTTTGTATGATTTGAAGTCCATTATGTTTTGGTTCTGTGAGATTTGGAATTATCAAATTCCGATTTGAAACGAATAAGTTATGATATTTATAAAATTGTCGCGCAAGAAATTTATTTTAAAAAACCGGCAGCAAATTATGTTAGATATTTAACCCTGTTGCTGTATCTTAATGTGCTCAAACTGAAAAGTATTTCTAATGAAAATTGTACTATTTTGAGATAGGTTTATGTGAGTTTTGGAATTTCAAAAATTGGATTTGATTTGAATTTATTATGAATTTTTTAAGTTGTACATGCAAGCTGTTTTTATAAAATCTGGGCAGATTTGTAGAATATGATGTCGGGCTGTTTTTGACGATTTTATGTGGCTATATGAAAATTTGATCATCATGAAACTTGTAGAACATGTTATAAGCTTTGAATATGAGTTAAAATCATGCAAATTGGAGTTTTAGTTGATTTTATATGATTTCTCAAAGTTGGGTTTATGCCCATAATTTTTAAAACAGTGGTTGTGTGTATGATAGAAATGTATACTCTAAAATGAGGCCCTTAATGTGATTATTTGTAAAAATTCTCTTCTTGAAACTTGTAGCATTCCATGTTTAGTTTCTGAAGGTTTTGAGTTTGAATGATTTGGAGTTTTATAACTTGAGATATTGTTATTTGTCAAATAGTTGAGTTGGCACATTACTTGACTTAAGTGTTTTACGCTTAAACTCAGTTGTAAAGCTATTTTTGTCTTAAGTGATCAAAATAAGAGTTGTGGATATATGTGTTAGCTACTCATTAGTTTTAGAATCATCTGAATAGCATGCTTGTAGCTCATGATACCTTGGAAATAATGAGACTATGCGAATTGTTCATTTTTATTTATGAATTGTAACCATGTTTTGTGTTATTGTTGATTTATCTATGAGACTGAGATATGTTGCATGAGAGTAGTTGTATTAGTTCGTGTGTTGGATAGTCTCTTATATAATGTAGGTTTTTGACGAGCTGTGCCTACTATTTTTCCCTCGATTTTCTGTGATTACTTTCTTCGGTTACCAGGTGGGTTTAATTTGAAAAAAAAATTACTATGCCTTAACTGTTATTACTGTTTATTAGCGGTATGATCAAAGTATGCATGTGAATCATGTAGCCTTCGGTGTGAGTTGTATCAGCCACCGGACGGTTGTCCCCGTAGCTATAGAACGTACCTTCGGGTAGTCTCCTTTATTATTGTTGGCAGTGAGGGCGTGAGCCTTAGCTGGTGATCCTCGTATGTAAAGCCAAGGCGTGAGTTTTGGCATTCGGGGTGGATTATTGCTCCTGATGGTCGGGCACTCGTTGTAAGGCCTTATATAAGCCATTCGGTATATAGCTCGGCAGTAGTCTATTGCTATAGGTGTGCACATGAGACTATTATTGATTATTGATAGGAGATGGGATAGTTTATTGCTTCGTAAACATGCTGAGACCATACCTTTTGAATATTGATTACTGTTGATTATTGACGTTAACATTTATCGCATAGCGGTGTGCACTACTGTTTCCTTTTGTGCTCATCCCCACCTGATGAAGGTTAATGTTGCAGGCACGGCCGAGAGAAGCGAGTGTGGTCAAAATAAATTGTTACTGCTTCCGCTTAAAACTGAAATATTGCTATTATTGTTTGATCGATTTCAGGATTATTGTTAGGGAATATTTTCCCTGGGATTTTATGAGTATTGATTACTGAACTAAATTTTGGATTACTGATTATTGATAAATGAATAAAGAGAATTTAATATTGATGATTGGTTCAATCTGATATTGTTTCGATAATGAGTAGCGCCTCAAGTGTTTTTTGAAAATAAATTTCAAAAAATTTATCTTGAAATTTGACAAATAAAAGTGGGGCGTTACAGTATGGTATCAGAGCCAGTCTGCGTTTCTGTAGACTGGTTTAAGTATAAAAATTGATTATGTGATTATGTGTTAAGACCACTCGCTCTCGTCGTGCCGCGCCAACTCAGGTATGAGTACCTGAATGACTATGAGATTATTGCATATTGTTTGTTTAATTATTATTGGAGAAATCGGGGTTAGGACTAATCCACCTTTAAATGCGAACTCTAGTGTTGAACTTTAGACTTCTTTTATTATTGTGCTAAACTCTTCGACCCATTTTCAATGTAGAACTATGGCTCTTCATAATGCTCGCAACCGTCAGCGTACTCCGTCTCTGCCTCCGTCTCCATCCCCATCTCCACCTCACCAGCAGGCCCCCAACCCTGCTGGGGATCATTTGAACACGGTTCTTCAGTTTCAGCATTTATCTCCTCCATCATTCGCTGTGACTGAAGGGCCCGAGGCAGTGGCGGAGTGGATCCATCAACTTGAACAGAACTTTGACCTTCTGCAGTGCCCAGATGCTCAGAAGGTTATATGTGCCCGCTACATGCTGAAGGCCAATGTCGCCCTGTGGTGGACCGGTTATTGGAGATTGAGGCAGGGTGAGTTTGCTGCTTTGACTTGGGATCGCATGAAAGAGGTGATCATGGAGAAGTATTATCCTCAGAGTTATCGCATGAGGATGGAGCGCGCTTTCTAGGATCTTACTCAGAGGACTGGTACAGTTGAGGAGTACGAGCGAGAGTTCACCCGCATGAGCGCCTCTGCTCCACATATGGTGGACACAGACCTGAAGAAGGCCCACAAGTTCTGGGATGGACTGAACCGAACTCTCCGTATGTATGTTGCTAGCCATGGATATCTTTCCTTTGATGAGACCGTTACCGAGCCGTCCAGCTTGAGAGTTATCAGACTCTCGATGCTTCCGTCCCTTCTGCTCAGCTAGTTCAGCCCATTTCCTTCGCGACGGCCAGCTCTAGTTCGGGAAAGAGAAAGTTTGATTCCCGCTGGGATAACCGGGAGGGAAAGCGTAGAGCACCAGACCACTGCGACGTTCCACCAGCTGCCCCGGGTCAGAACCTGAAATGCCCTAACTGTGGCCGCTATCATCATGGAGATTGTCGTTTCACCCAGAAGGTCTGCTTCAACTGCATGAAGCCCGTGTTGGTGTTATATACTTACGCTTTGCTTTAGTGGATATTACACTTGTTATTCCTT